TTGTATCAATGCATGAACATTGTTGCATTCTTCATTTTAGATTTATCTCTGTATTCCAATTTAATTTGGAACGAGATTGAATGATCTGATTACGTCTCGTCCGATTCGTGTTTGTGGGTTGTGTGACGCAAAGTTCGAAGCTTTATTATCTGGGATTGATTGAGTTAGGTTCCGACATTATCTGCGAATCTCTGAGATGCCCTCCGGGCGAGGTTGATATGGATTTGAAGACATTGGTCATTGGTTGTCCAATCTCTCTTTTGCTTGTCAATGAATGTTTTTTCTTCCATTATGTGTGTGAAATGTTGAATGTCGTATGTTGTTTGACAATTTACTGTGCTCTCGTTGCAGGGGTTGCTTTGGGGTTGTTTTCGAGAAGGTTGTAACGGATGAATGAAGAAGTGGGAATTGGGGAGGGAGGGTTGGTTTGTGTGTGTTTTGATTACTGATGTTTTCTGGTGGAGAGGGAAAGAAATGGACTTGTGGGAAAGCTGGTGTGTTAAAAGTGGGATCTTTGATTCGGGATCTAAGCGAGCCTTGTCTTTCACAATCAGGGATACAGGTTGTTTTAACTGTAAGATCCTTTTTCATTTCACCCTTTCTCCTTTTGGCTTCTCAGTATTGTAATGGTTTAGAACAAACTTACTTTAGGGTCTTGAAAGCTGAGGAATGTTTCAGAATCCATTTTGAAAGAAGATGATTTAAAGAGCTTTGTGTTTCCAAATGTACAGATCGGCAAAATGCTTAAGCCAGAGAAGTGGCAGGCTTTTTTCGATTGCGATGGAAAGGTTTCTGGTTTCCAGAAGGCGCTCAAAATAATTATATTGGGGGTATGTTTCCTTTTGCAGATGAATTTGTATGTTTTCATTTCCATGTTGTGCAATTCCTTCCCTTTTTATACACTTGTGCTCTCATTAAGAACTAGGTACACTAGACTAGCCGGAATTGCATTCACATCTAATGCATCCCCTCTTTCTTGGTAGGGAATCGACCCATCGATAAGAGCTGAAGTTTGGGAATTTCTCCTCGGCTGTTATGCATTGAGCAGCACCTCTGAGTACCGTAGTAAACTCAGGGTAGCCCGAAGGTTGGACAGTTTGTTTGCGTTGATGTTGTATCAGAGGGAGTGCTAAGTTGAACCTCGAGTTTAATTCTCTGTTTACCATTCATGCAGAGAACGATACAACGAGCTGCTTAAGCAATGCCAGATGATGCATTCGAGTGTTGGTACTGGTTCACTTGCCTATGTTGTGGGATCTAAAGTTATGGATATGCGAAAATCATACAAAAAGGAAGTAGTAAAGGAAGCTATAGATGAAAGCACAGAAGCTTCTCTAGATGGTAATGAGAATACTGAAAATCATGGTGATTGGAGTAATAATGATACTGACACATCTCATGTGCACAGAAGGGGAAGTTCTAGTGAGTCAGTTGACCAAGTAAGTGGAAGAGAAAGTCCTGAAAGCACAGTATATGAAAGTTCTCCTTTTGTACCGGCATCTAGTCCACTTGGCTTTCCTTCCCCTGGTCCTTATGTTGCGGATGGTTTTTTTGAATTTCCCTCCCTACCGATCACAGATTTGTTTGGGAGTAGTTTAGATAAGAAAGGGCTTTATACTCCAGATGAGGAAGCTTCAATGCACAGTGAATTAAGATCTGAGGATGAGAGAATGCACAGTTTTCGAATTGAAAAGAATGCAGATCTAGTTATAGAACCGCATGGGTCTTCTTATAACAACATAACTGGATCCGTTAACTCAGAAATTGAAGTAATACATCCTGACTCTGTTGAAGAATTGTCTCATTCCGGCACGATTGAGATGGTTGATGGTTTAAGAATATCAGATCTCCCTGAAATGCCAACGGCAAAGGAGTCTCCTTCTCGTGGTGGGACTGTCCCCGAAGATCGGATGTCTGAATGGCTTTGGACATTGCACCGAATAGGTACCAGTTGTGTGAGTTTCTTTTATTTTGAGAACTTGCAGGAAATCTTGCTCTTCAGGTTCAGCCTGCGCATGTTTATGGTGACTATTCCGAATCAATAATTACTTTTCTTTTTCCCCCACAGTTGTTGATGTGGTAAGGACAGATAGCCACCTTGAGTTCTATGAGGATCCAAGAAACCTAGGAAGAATGTCAGATATTCTTGCGGTCTATGCTTGGGTTGATCCTGCAACTGGTTATTGCCAAGGTTCCAAATCTCTCTTTTGTAACTTGTTATTAATTGTCACCCTATGAATTCATATCGATGTAGGATACTAATTGTCTGGTGGAAAATCTGATGACAGGAATGAGTGATTTAGCGTCTCCTTTCGTGGTTCTTTTTGAAGATAATGCTGATGCCTTTTGGTGCTTTGAAATGCTCATAAGAAGAACGGTAGTACAATGCTTACTGATATGTAACATATGTTTTTTTTTTGTCCCAATAGTGATGGCCTTATGCTGTAATTTGATGCTTTTTTTCCTTATGTTACTATTACTGTAGCGTGCAAATTTCCAGATGGAGGGACCAACTGGAGTGATGAATCAATTGGAATCACTGTGGCATATATTGAAACTCACAGATAAAGGCATTTTTTCTCATCTATTGCGTATTGGTGCTGAAAGTCTTCACTTTGCATTCCGGATGCTGTTAGTGTTGTTCCGACGAGAATTATCTTTTAACGAGGCTCTAAGGATGTGGGAGGTTGGTAAATCTTCTGTTGTTGCTTTGTGTTGCCGGTTTCGTGTTCAGTCTCTGTTCCTTTATTTTATAGCCCACTAAAGTAGTTGAATTGCTGTGATATGTACATTGATCCCATGACTATATACTTTGAATCTGGTTTAGCTATTGAAACTATGATATTTAGTTTCATTACTTGAATTTGTGTCTCGGTCATGATAACAAATGGATTTTAGTTTTGTAATGGTTGCAAGAGCTTGGTAAAGTAGATAATCTTAGATTTCTATTGAATATAGTTGTTTTCACTTATCAGATTCAAAACTCTTGCAAAATTTATTCATGGGGTCTTTTTCTGCCGTAGATGATGTGGGCTGCTGATTTTGATGAGTCTGTTGCTGAAACGTCGGAGAATGATTGCTTGGAGCTGTTGCTGGTTCAACTTCCAAGACAATCTGAAGCTGAGTTGGGGGACCAAAAAGTAGATTATGGAAATGGTACTACTACAAATAGTGAACCAACTTCAAAGAGCGATCGGATTTCAAAGAGCGGACCATTGTCAAAGACCTGTCTGTTGTCCAGGAGCGGCCTACTGCCAAAAAGTGGTCCATTGCCAAAGACTGGTCTGCTGTCTGATGATACTGAAATGAAGTCAGTATCTTCGTATCATTTCTGTGGCTTGACAAGAAGCTTATGGTCTAGGAACGAAAGAACCCATGCCTCTTCTGTAGTTTCATCCTTTGGAAAAGGAGATGACCCTCTTCCAGTATTTTGTGTGGCAGCGATTCTAATCATGAACCGGCATAAGATCATGAAAGAAACTCGCTCGATCGATGACTTGATAAAGGTAGGATGTTTTCCACTGCATTTGTGCATGCCGAGCTCTGTTTCTTTGCCGAGTAATACAGTTCCTCTGCACTAACTGCAGTGGTGATACTGTTTCAAAACTTGTTACTGATTTGAGATACTTGCAGATATTTAATGACAAGCTGCTTGCTATTCGAGTGAGAAGATGCATACGCACAGCCATGAAACTTCGTAAGAAATACATGTACAAGGTTAGATGCTCAATAAGTTGATGATGCTTCATCTTTTGCTCTTCTATTCTTTATTCTCCGAAATCCCTTGATTGGGCTTGAAACTTTATATCTCAGTGCATTTATTTACTAGAGTATCCTTTCAGATGAAATGTATAAAGTATATACATAAATTTCTTGTCATTTCTCATATCTAACTGCATAACTTTT